AACTCTCATACAGGCCAGAGGTTAATTCAAAATTGTAAATGGTGTCATTTTTTGGACTAATACAACCTATTGAATGGTAAGTACTATTGAGACATAAATCATAATTTTTCATATGAACTCAACACTAAGTCTTCTTCTAATGCCAATTCATGTGTAGTCATCCACTAACACTGACACTGACATGAGAATGCATTTAGTCCCGCTTTACTCATTTAAAACTTAAAATTTACTTACCACGTCAGCGACGCATCCATTTTTGTTTTTTGATTGAACAGATAAGGTGTGTGAATTAATTTACGTGTATTTCAATTAATTTTTTTTATGATCCGGTAAAAGACAAGATATTCACGTTAGGAATAAGATATTTGTGAAGAATAAATCTCTCATAACTCGACTCGACTCTAAAAAATTGCCAAAATTCAAAATTAAGACAACTAAATTTACAATTTATCGTATTACTATTTGAATTACTTTTAAGATTAACGGGACATTCATTTATCCTTATATTTAATCTCATTTTCGGTCAGTTTAGTAAATACCCATTTCTATTCAGACCCACCTGTTCCCACAAACTATATTGTGCAGTCCAAAACACCAATCTAAGGGCACTAAACCCAATTTCATAGAGAGTAGTTCCACAAGCATCTCTTGAACTTGGAAATTTGGGAAGTTACAGGCACGACATTTTCTTGATAAACTTAATTACTACTGACACATAAAATATTTGAATACCCAACAAAATGAAAGGCAAGTACTTTTGGTCATCTCAATTCAAATTTGCCACCAATTTCACCCTCACAATATTACTATTGTCTTTCGCCGAATTAAAGAGTTAATTAGTTGATGTAAATATAAATTATTTCAAAAAAATTTCACCGTTACACTAAAATAAAACTCTTAAAAAGTAGAATTGACAGCCTCGGTCTCCCCATGTATTTGATTGATCAAGCATTACTACTAAACCCAAACAACCACAAAAAGTGATTAAAAAAAAAAAAAAAAAGAAGACTGTGACGAAGAAGAAGCTGCCTAAAGATAATAATAAAACATAATACCAATTTTATACCACAAATTCACCCCCAAAATGAAGGAAAGCAAAACTACCATGGAGAGACAAAACTCCATTATCACTTGGCTTAACAATCAACTCCAAAAGATTAAAGCATTCAAGCTCAGATGAAGCTGGAAATTACATAATATTTTCTGGGTACTCAAACTCAAACTCATACTCAAACTCTCAGCAAATAAATGCTAAGTTCAGGACCTCCATGTCTATCAGGGTTCATCATATAGAAAGCTTCAGAGTCTTTAGACCCAACAACTCTCTCAAACTTGGCTCTCATGTACATCAGCTCACCTTCAGACCCAACTCCTTCCCCGCTCTCCGGCAAAACTCCGGCACCCATTGTGATCGGACCGACGGCATTCAGAATCTTCCACTCCCCGGGCCCACATTCCCTCCTCATAGCATACCCACATTTCTTTCCGTTGCAGTATGTCCTCCATAGGGGCTCTTCTAGCAACTTAAACCCTTTCTTCTCCATTTTCTTATCGCATTCCAACGCTATTCGGACCAACCCAGAAGCCATTTCTCTCACTAACACGCTTGTTGATGTCGCAAGTTCGACTAAAAATGGTGGACTCAGTTTGGTATCTTCTTGGAAGGCGATGTGAACATGGCCTCGTCTGTACCCAAATAGAGTACACACCACTTTGGTGCCAAGTCCTTGAGATTGGTGCGATCGGTTCTTACCAAAACTAAGAAACGATCGCAATTTAGAAGAAACTGTCGTGATTGGAAGTTTTTTCTTCGGTGCTTTCAGTGAATGAGACACTGAAAGCACCGGAACGTTAAGGTCCCCAATTTTCCGCTCATCGTCAAATACCTGCGACGATGAGCTAAAAGTTAAAATTTCTTCGTCATCTTCATCATCTTCAACCTTCTTTCTCCATTGGAAGTATCTCCTAGAGAATGAGAAGGAGTCATGAGGCTTCGCCATGATTGTCTTCATTTGCAAAAAAGGTAAAGATTAACAAAGGGAAAGAAACTAACTCCTCAAAGATGGATGTGAGAGGGAAAGATACAAGAGAGAGGTTTTAATTCTGTTTTTTCTTCTATATTGTGGCTCTTTGGGGGGGTGATTTTATTCTTCTATTCTAGCCCTTTCTGTGTCAGCCCCCCTCTGTGACTGAGGACTTTCAGGAGAATCCTGACAAAAAGAAGGTGATCAACCCCACCTAACTACAACAGGAAAATGGATTACACAGAGGAGAGACAACAACTGGAGAGAGAGAAAGACAATAACTCAAGAGTTTTTGAAATGGGAATAGACAATAATGGAATCTGAGGAGACAAACTTTTGTGTTCTATCTTTATCTCGGTTGGGGGCCTAGCTGAGAACAAGGAGACTATGTAGGGTAAGGTTAGACTAACAATTTTTTTTTTTTTTTGGTCTTATTGAATCATTTCTTGTCCTAATTTAATTAGTGTATGATTTAAAAAATTAAGTTTACCATCGATTCTATTCGGAGCCACAAGTTTAAAAGACATAAAAAACCTCTATTCACCTGAACATACTAAAATTTTTCTTGTAACCCAAAAATGAAAAAATAAAAAAAACAATTTTCGATGTGGTACTAAAAAATAAAATTTCTGGGCTTGACTAAACTATCCCAATTTGCATTGGAAAGTGTTAAGGGCAGCAGGTAAAGGCACACCAATTCGTACCCACCAGCACTAGGACCCAACCCCACACGGTCCTTTAGTCCTTTCAGATTATCACTAACCCACAGCACCAGAGCAACAATGCACACATATCTACGAGCCTCCCATAGCCACCGTTGTGTTCTGTATCAATGTCTTTTACTCGCTTTTAGAGCTGATCAGTGACATAATTGGTCTGATGATTCAGTAAGTGTGCCCTAGGTTCTGTGTGCTTCTCTCTGGTGGCCACATTGTTCTGTAACTGCCTGTTGTGTTATTTTTAGGGTAAGTCTCATAACTGTCCCCTCAATATGGTGTTTATTTTAAATTGTCTCAATTTAACTGTTAAAAGAGATAAAATTAACAATTAATTCAATAGAATTTATCTCATTTAATAATTAATTTTAGCAGAATTTGTCTCAATTTTCGGTTAATTTTAACAGTTGAAATAAATTACATAATTCATGAGGCAAATTGAGACAATTGAAATTTTAATGGGCAATTTGTGACAAAGGTCATAGTTTAGGGGCATTTATGAGATTTACCCTTATTTTTATTTTCACTTTCTTTGTATACATGATGAAGAAGAAGAGCAGTACATGGACTTCACACCAACCAGTGGATTTTGAGTGAAACATACAAGTTTCCCCAAATAGTATCACCATGTTTTTTTTTGGTGTTCAGGAATTTTTATTCCTTATACAAGAACATCATGTAGATTAGTGTGAAACCTGAACTGTATTAGACATCTAGTCATCGCATACTTCGGATATCCTATAACAAAAAATTTTATATGATATTTTGTAGAGGGTACTCTTGAAATTTCTTCACACTATTTGTGTTTATAGCCCTAACTTTATTTTTTAACAATGCAGAGGTAATCTATTAGCTGTTTTGCTTGTATTTTACTCGTTTTATAATAGATTTGATACGACTCTGTAATCTTTTTACGTTTTTTTTTGGTTTTTTGAATGTAGAACCCATCACCAACTCTTACAAGCTGACTGCAAATAAACATTTCACATTGAGTTACAAAAAAACATCATCCTTGAACCTAGGTTCTGAATTACTTTCACTGAATCATCAATAGTTCACACCAAGCAGAAGAACATCGTCAACATCCTTCAACACCCACTCCCACCAACCTCCCCTCCCCCCAAAAGAAAAGAAAAAATCCCATTAAGGAAAGACAAAGTAACTCTAATGTGAAGAGGGGTTCTAATCATTACAGTTAACATCGAGCCAAACAAACTTGCCTACAATAGAATGTGGTAGATATAGTGCATGCAGCTACCATAATCATACAACCTTAAAGTAAATACCCTTTGAAGTTTTTGTCCCACCGACCCACATACATGTGTCTGTAAATTCCTTTCCTTAAGGTCAAACAAGGTTGAATTTTGAGATGTACCATAAGTTTCATAAACCTATATTTATTATAATACATTAATATAGGACTCAAATATAATATTAGTTTATCATATGACCTAACATAGTTCATGGATCAACTAATTATGATCAAACACCAACTACTACTGCCAAAAACTAAAGCTGCTGCTGTGTATCTCACCTAAAACTGCTCAGGAGATGGAGAGATCATGACATGAAACCAACCACAAAGATACCTTTAATTAAGGTAGTTTTAGTTCTATATCCTAGGGATGAAGAATAATTGTGTGAAAATATATAGTCTAACAATTATATATAAGAACTTTATGGGTAAGTCAGTGAGTATGTTCACACACTAATGAAGGAGTTGTTCATGTTAGGCGTCATTCTAAATGATGTTTTGAGCAATGAATGTGTCATTTGGCATTATTTTATTTATTTTTTTTAAAGTGATTGGATTTGAAAAATAAGTTTAAAAATCACTGATTTTGAAAAATAAGTTTTTGAGATACATGGGTTTTGTAATATACTTGTTCTCCAAAAAGGTGATCTCTTGTGTGTTACAGGGTTTTTTCTTATGCTCTCTGTTTGGTATAATGGAAAGTTGGAAGGATGAAAAGTTGGAGAGATAAATAAAACATCATGTTTAGTAAGAAAGGATAAAAAAGTTGATGGATTAACTTTCCTTTCAACTTACCAAAATCAATTCCTCTAAAATCAAAATAAAAGTTGTGAAAAGTTAATTATTTATGTTGAGATGTATTTTATTTGTCTATATATTATTTATACATTAATTTAAATAAAAATATAAAGATAAAATATGTATTTATAAATATATATATATTAAAAAATATATATATTTTTCATCTTAACTAGGGGTGAATTTCTACTCAACACAATGACACAACTTGAACTCGACACAAATTTTATGATACGAAGTTGATTATAACTCGACACGAACTTAAAAATAACCTGACACGCGAACAAAAAATATAAAAAGCTCATAATTTTATTACTAAACACGAATCTGACACGAAAATGACTCAATTGTCACCCTGATCTTAGTCAACATAAAAAAAAAATTATTCATTTTTATTTTTTATTCACCCAACCAAATACAAAAGAAAGAAAGTGTATCATTCATACTTTTTATTCTTGAATGATAGAAAGTGTATCCCTCTAATTTTTCATCATTCTTACTTTCTATCATTCTTACTAAACAGAGCATTAGTCAAATATTATTACACAGGAAGAGACGACGAATTTTGCACCCACGAAGGTCCGACCGCTAATAAGATGTTGCAGCAGGATTGGAGGTCTTATAGTTTACTAATACCCAAAGACAGCTCATCTGTTGCTGGACTATAGGCCCAACTTTTATACTTCGCATTCCAGAGTTAAGCCCAAATTTACCCATAAGTTATGTTGGCTTGAACTGGGCTTTTCTGGACCCTGGTGATTGTCCGAAACGAGTTTCTAATCCCTATCTAAGGCCCGTGTTGAGTACCTAATTAAGCTGACTTCGTGAATCAACTAAATCGATCGAACTTCTCACTCTGAAATTGCAGGTTCGAGTTTTGCAATTCATATTGAGATTCGGTGCTTGACTATTCTATTAGCTTAGCTAGATTTATTTCCGAGAGGAGTAACGGACGCCGTCAAAGACATCATGATCCCACAAATGATAACTTATAAAAATGGTCTTTGAGCATTTTCCTTTATTCTCGCCTCTTTTATAAATAGCAAAAAAAAAAAAAACTCAATTGAGTCTTCAACCAAACCAATGGAAAGTCGAGCAGAGGTACAATACTTATCAATTTGGGCCTCGTACTTATCTTATATACCACGTTTGTAAGGTTATACCATGTTCTATTTAAGTTCATGCTGGAAGTACATTTTTCTCAAAAAAAAATAAATTATACCAAAGATGTACAATTAGAACCTAGAGATAATTTTATTTTCTTTCTCATAAAGGAAGTTAAACACGTTTATATTGGGCCAAATGCCTCTCCAATCCATCGTAAAAAATAGTTATGCCAAACACTAGATTGAAATCGTGTCGATATGTAGTATTGTCATCAGTCATTTGCTCGGCAAAGGTAGCTTGTGATAAAAAAAAGAGACTTTTTATTTTTAAAAATAATATTTTATTTAATATTTATTGTTCTCACTTTTTGAAATGTCCATCGACCAAGCTTAAAATGATAATGCCAACGGAGAATTATTGACTTTGTGAATTTTATGGTGTATAAAAATGAAAAATAAAGATAGACGGTCAAAAAAATAAGGTAGATCAGTTGCCCTTTGTTAACTAGAGAGAGAGAGAGAGAGAGAGAGAGAGATAAAGTAGAAGTGAGAATCTGTTGATTTTTCAAACTCTTTTATCGTGCACACACAGTAGTTAGGAGAAAATGTTAGAATTTTCACTTTTTTACTATTATTTTTTCTTTTTGTGTTTTAAATTTTTTTTATGATATTTTTGGGGCTATAGGCTCCAAACTATTCAATTTAAATCTAATTTTAATTTTATTATTGGGCTTAATTTTTATAAAAATTAAAATTTTTATTTAAGCTAGTGTTATAATTACAAAAAAAAGGGTCTAACTAGAAGAATTGAACTTAAAGTCCAGACTTTGATGGCCTTATAATAGAGTTGGCCCCGTTGCTCGGTCATTCATTTGCTAAGCTAATTTTAGAAATTGAAAGAGTTTTTTACTATATGAACATAAAAGCTCAATGATCAAAAGATTTACGTGTTGAAGCTAATTTTAGAAATTGAAAGAGCTAATAGCTTGTTTATTCTGCTCGATCAATTTACGTGTTGAATGAAATTTTGTTTTACAGACCTTTCAATGTCGCAACTTTATTAATTGAGGCTGCTTGCACGCTTTAAAAACTATGGAAGGA